CTAAAATTACCAACTCCCTGGTCGGTGAACACGCCTACATTAAAGATTTAATTGGCTCTCCCAACCAAACAATTACCAACCGTAACAGTATCTTGCAAAAAAACCCCAAAACTGACATTAAAATAGTCAATATGTAAGCATCTTATTTTTATATTCATGTGTTTAAAATACTGTTGATTATATAACAATATAAACATGTTAATTATTCTGATAACTATTTGCTAATTTGTGTTGTATTTGGTGACTTTGGTTGCTCTCAACAGCTCATCTCCCCTTCCTGAAATGGAAAGTGGGGAAAATAACCTCTCAACAGTTAGATTTGACCATTTCCATTTTTGAAAAATGATGTAACTTAATATCATGTAAAAATCAATTATCACAAAAACACACATATTAATATTAAATATCTAATTTATTATAATTAAAAAATTACAAAAAGTGCCAATGCTGATATCATTCATCAAGTTAAAACATGCCACTTACTCAAAAACAAAAAACTATTATTATTGCTGCAATTACTGCAATTACTGAATCTACTATTACTCAAGGAATAAATATACATTACTATTAGAAACGGATGCCCTTGTACTCATTGATAATGAAAATGAGAGTAAGAGAATTATTTCTCAAGTTGGACAAATTGCACATCCAAAGACACATGGTTTTTGGGTTGACATTTTTCCTTACCTCAATGATGAGAATGAGCACAATAATTTTAGAGCTCATTTTCACATCAAATGATCTACATTTAATAGATTATTAGAAGTAATCTCTCAACATTCTGTTATCAGTCATCTAATTTCCAAGCTCAAACACATATCGAAATTTAAGTGAGTTATCGCCAATTAGAAACTACGTTTGGCATTAGTCAAGGCTCAGTCCAGAATTTTACTCAATGTTTTTTTCAGTCTGTTCTTGATCTACTTAAAAAAATTATTCAGTGGCCTGCAGGTGACATGCTTCAAGAAACAGTTAAGGTTTTTCTCCTCCAGAATATACGAATCAGCTTCCAAATGTAATTGGTGCTGTAGACAGATTGCATATTCCGATCCAGTGGATTTAGGTCTTGATCCTGGCACTTTTTCTTTCTCCCCTTCGATCTTAATCCTGTTCATATAACGGGTGATCGTAGGGAGTTTCGCATCTTTCTGAATACACCATTTCTTCTTCGTAGTCATCGTCAGAGTATTCGATGTTTCTTGGGGGTCTGGTGCCAGGTATATACCATTCTCCCGTTTGCCACAATTGTTCATACCATTCATTCTCCTCTGTTGTTCCCAAGCAAAACCAGGGGTG